GTTTGTCACTAATTTATGCATATTTAATTAGCTGTCTTTGATTTAGTATTTCTGCAACAAGAAAGGCCATGTAAAAAAGAAATCCACTGGATCATGTTCTACTATTGTTAGTCTCAAAGCACAGATATTCATTTAAACCAGTCAATTTGATTTCTCCCCATGACTCTATCTTAAGTAAGGTGCATATTTTGTAGTGTTTTGAATAGCCTTTAATTGAAGGCAAATGTCTGAACTGGGCAACAGCAAATACACTTTATTCTAACATGGATAGTGAGAGCAATTACTAAAGTTCTCAAAAAAGCCGTAAAATGTTTGGGGACTTCAATATTTTTTCTGTGCTGGCATACTGTTTACATAGCACTTTATGATTTTTGGCCTTTTCATGAACATTCACTTAAACACAAAAGCATTTTTCTATCTTAACCTAGCTCGAAATTAGCAAGAAATACCTACCTAAATATTTTCTTATCAATATCCAGTATAAATTCGGCAAAGAGAAACACTTGAGACATTTCTTTCATATATTTTCAGAGCTACATTTTGTGGCATTCTCACAATATCGAAAAATGCTAGACATGTAAGTTAGACACGTAAGTTCCTTCAACTTAGGTTTTCAGGCGTAAAATAGAATGGAAACAAGAAATAATTACTACATACATGTACATGTCGCTTAGACGCAATTTTGCGCTCTCTTTGATTCTTGGATTGCAAAATGTCCAGTTTTGTGTCATCTGTTCCGTTACTTCGACCCAAGGTTTAACGAGAATATCCATTGCCATCCCGCTTTCATCATCACAGATATCAACAGCTGTCAAAAAAGCTACTCAGAAGGCTGTATAAAATCCAGGGAGAGCGGTCACTTTAACATACAGATTGCTTTTAAAATCCATCGCAAAACACTCCACCATCTTTATAACTTTAAATGTTGAAAAGTCAGTAGTTACCTTCTTTTAATTCAGTAGCTTCGTCATGTATGGTGATACGAATTGTAGCACTTAATATCGTCAAAGATGGCAGAATGTCTCGTGGTGGGCTTTGGAAGAAATCTGTTTAATATTACACTTACAGCAGTGATGGCTCTACCCAGATTTTAAATGGCTTTTTGAGTAGCTTCCTCGACAAATGTTGATATCTCTGATGACGAAAGCGGGATGGCAGTGGATATTCTGTTTAAACCTTGGGTTGAAGCAACAGAACACACTGGGAACAGATGACACAAAACTGGACATTTCGCAATCCAAGAATCAACGAGAGTGCAAAATTGCACCTAAGTGGCATGTATGTAGTAGTTATTTCTTGTTTCCATTCTACTTCATGCCTGAAAACCTAAGTTGAGGGAACTTATGCATTGAATCTCCTTCTGCCACGTTTTATCGATATCTGTGAGAATGCCACAAAATGTAGTTCTGAAAATATTTGACAGAAATGTCTCAAGTGCTTCTTTTCACCAAATTTATACTGGAAATTGATAGGAAAATACTTAGCTGAATATTTCTTGTTGATTTTGTGTTTAGTTAGACAGAAAAATGGCTTTTGTGTTTTAGTGAATGTTCATGAAATGGCCAAAAATCGTAAAGTCCTATGTAAACAGTATGCCAGCACAAAAAAAATGTTGAAGTCCCCAAACATTTTATGGCTTTTTTGAGAACTTTAGTGATTGCTCTCACTATCCATGTTAGAATTCAGACATTTGCCTTCAATTAAAGACTATTCAAAACACTACAAAATATGCACCTTACTTAAGATGGAGCCACAGGGAGAAATCAAATTGTCTGGTTTAAATGAATATCTGTGTTTGAGACTAATAATAGTAGAACATGATCCAGTGGATTTCATTTTCACATGATCTTTCTTGTTGTAGAAATACTAAATCAAAGACAGCTAATTAAATATACATAAATTAGTGACAAACGGCCATTTTTGGAGGGGGTTCCCCTAACTTGAAGGGAATAAAATATTTTGACCTAAGTTTTTGCCATGATCATTTACCTACCAAACCCAACATTTGTGCCAAGTTTGAGCGAAATCAGTGATTTGAGCTGTATCACCTCTGTTATGAAAAATTGTCTAAGTCTAGTTCTAGAACAATCTAGAACCTGAGGTCATTCAGCCATGACCAATTTGTATAAGAACATTCCAGAACATTCTGTTCCTTATGTAATTACTCAGATTAGAAACTGTGTCAAACTACTTAATTTACTTCCAACTAGAAGTTTCTAGAACTTTAAGCCTCATTTATATTGGAGTGAGCATTTCTTCTGTGAGACAGATTGATTCAAATTTGAAGAAGCTTAGTGCTGTAAATTCGTGAAGTTACCTTACGGAAATAAATTAGTTTGTTGCTGTTACCGGTGATCCTGAGTTCTGTCTGGAAACAACCCTGCTCTACAACGATACTAGTAACAACCTCTTACCTGGTTCTGGTTTTCTCATGGACACACTCTTAATAGTCCTGGTAAAAATTATGCTGTCATTTGTTTTCATCTCTATCTCAGCCAGCATCAAGACTGTGTTTTACCACATATCCAAAAACCTCAAAGTTCATCAAAAATACCTGTACTCCTCTGTACATTGTTTTCCCAACTCTTGTCTTGGTATTTAGAAATGTGGTAAATTACTCTACTTGAGTTATTCTTGTCTTGTGTTGAAAAAGCCAGTCACTGCAATTATGTAGGCTGGTAATTCATTTATTCTACTGTTGTTGACAGATGTAGGGCAATGCATCACGCTATAAAGTTACTAAATACTGTAGAGTGTCTAACCTCCCCTTGCCTTCCTTAGCTCCCACCCCCTGAGCTTGCTTGCAGGCTATTTTGTGCCAGGGTTGTGAGGATTGCTTTGCTGTTCACAGTGGAGGCTTCAGGCTTTCTATTCCCCACACCTTGATGCATTTGTTAGTTAAAATTATTTAATTCTCACAATTTGATTGTTCAGCCTGATTGTTATGGGAAGTAAGATGTCACGATTCACAAGTGATTGGTTTCATCATTGTTGTTTCATTTTTAATTAGGTATTTCCTTGGTTGTGCAAACTTCTTCTTTTATGGTGAGAGCATTACTGATTATTTTAATGGCAATCCAAACCCTCAAGTTGACGATGCATCAGAGGTGAGTTTGATTCACCACTTGTTATCAAAATCTTATTTCTCCTGGCAATATCAGTGCCTTCTTAAACACACAGGTGATGAGAACTGATAAATAATCAGCTAGAGATACATGTATAGCCTTGGTACTCCAACAATTTTATTATTAGTTGTTGCCTCAAGTCAGAAAGAATGTCAAGCTTTGGACACAATATTGTTAAAACAGCTTCATTTACAGATACATACATGTATGTGTGGACAAATGTTTACTCTGGAACCAAGTTTTTTCTTTCCTGTTCACTTGATGTCTTGCTGTTCACAACTTACAGTATCTTGACTTGAAGTAATCTTATTTATAGTGCTTTGCATGTTTGTTTTCTGCAGGAAGTGGTCAAAACGTACATTACATATCACAGGCTGATTTCATATTCACTATATTTAATTGGTATGTATATTGTATATTTTCTGTTGAGACAATCTACATGTAGTGCCTTGTAAACATTTATGCATTTAGATTGTTGCGTAGAAATTAGCAGCCAATAAATTATCACTTGCCATTCTAAGGCCATCTTATGCAAGGACTGTTGGCGAACCTATTGTACTTGTCATGGACCTCCCCCCATCTCCCTCCCATGAAACACAGGACATAGGTGGTGCTTTATAGGGGCCTTCACTCTTTGCCTTGCCAAGGGGGTGGGGATAAGTATTATTTTAGTCTGTTATCTTGCCTGAGTGAACCTGGAGCAAGGGCCTAGCTACAAGTGTTTTGAATGTCATATTGGAATGTTGTTATTTTCTGGATGCGAAAGCATTTACTGAACAGCATTTGCAATGCCAAACAGACAGTGTACATCATCATTATTTTCTACACGCAAGCTTTAGACAAGGTAGAATTGATTACTTACAAGCATGATTTCTGCCCTGTCTTTGTCTATCTGTAGAAAAAATTCCAACACTACTTAGAACCCAGGTAGAGGTGGACAGGGTTTTGCAATACATTCCTGCTTGTGCACTATTTTATACCACTCTACAATGACAACTAAATACACTGTTGCAAGACCTCTTGCAAAATCCGAAGAAGATCTTGAATGTGATTTTGGTTATCATAGTGCTTTCCATTGTTTCTTTGCAGGTTTCATTTTGTTTGTATTAAATTTAAAAAAGGAACACTACAAAGTGCAGTTCTCACTGGTAAATATAACTTGTGTTTGAGTTTCTTTTAAAATGTATCTAGAACAATGGCTCACACAGGCCTCAGAAAGTCCTTGCAAATGAGAGAGTTACGTTTTCTCCTTGAAAATTCCTTGCATTTTTTACCTCCAGCCATGAATTTTGTTAGCAAGTCCTTGAATACTCAAAATCATAATGAAATCCCTGAGTTACTACTACAGAACTATAGCACAAATGTATTATGGTTGTTAGAAATTGTAAGCATTTTAGGTTCAAATTGCAAATGGAACTGTATGTGTCCAGCCTCTGTAAAATTTTGTGCACTATAAAGTAATAGCTTTCAGTATTTAATTTAATAATATTGTTGACATCAATATAAAGATGTTGTGATGCTCTGTTGACTTTTAGTTTGGCTGGACCCATGTGACATTGTTGATTGTTGTTACTCAGTCACACCTCATCATGCAGACCCTGTTTGAAGGACTTATTTGGTGAGTGCAATGGTACATTACATGCTTATTTTACTGAAAAAGTAGTTCCTGGTTTACAGTGTATGTATAGAGGACTGATTTCTACGTTTTGTATACATTCTGCTGCTTCTAGCACTTTAATATCAAATGTATTGGCTGCACAGGAATTGTGTGTCGCTCAAAATCAGACCTGACATGTATCAAAGTACTTTGCTTTGATGTACTGGATGGTGAATAGACAGTTGGAGAAAAACAAAATAAACATTTCCTGGAAAGAAAATGTGGTAAAAAAGTGGTAATCCTTTTTTTCTGATATCTTGGCAGGTTCTTCCTTCCAGTTAGCATGGTGATTTGTAATGACATCTTTGCTTATATTTTTGGTATGTTCATTTTCTGTTTTAACTTTAAAAAGGCTCTATTTGGACATAATAACTTGCTACCAACAGTTGTAACACCTCATTACACAAAATTTTTGTGATAACAAATTTTCAAATCGTTCTTCCCATTTCACAAAAATTTGATTTGAAATAAAAAGGAAGCTGCTTGTTGAAGGGAGGGAGGTGCAATGGCCTCATGGTTAGTGTGCTTGTCTCCAGAAATACTCCTAGTCACTTCATGCTGCTGAAACCACGATAAGCTCCGGCCTATGGGCCGCTTGGCTTGTATGCAGACTTTACCTTTTTCTTACCCGCTTGTTGAAGAGTTAACCAAATTCATGAAACTGACATGCTGCCAAATATTGTTCCTCTAAAATGAGGAAATTAAGTTGCTCCCATTTGGTGTAATGAGATTCTGTTAGTTATTAGTCTGCTGTTTTAAAAATCCTTAAGGACCACTAAATATTGATGATTTTATTAAGTAATAACTATTGTTACATGTATTCTTGCTACTTTGTGTACTTTTTCATTTATGCAGGATTCTTTTTTGGTCGGACACCTCTTATCAAGGTAGACATGCCCATTTAAATTGTTTTTGTTTATTTTTTCTTAATATTGCAGTACTACAGTATAGTAATTTCTTACAGTGTAGTAATACTAGTTTTTAAGAAAATAGCTGTCGTTATGATATATTTTGTTATCCATCTATTTTAAAAGAGGGAGAGAGTACAAGTTGTTCCTATTTCTTATTTAATGTTTTTCTTAATATTAAGAAGTCAAGAGGACCTGAGCACTGTCATTGAACTCACAAATGACAGTGCTTCTGTCCACCCAGGTGTATTGAAATAGGGACTGGTTAATTGTTTTTACAGTGCAAACTTGTAAAAAACCTGCCATGGACTAGCATTCCATCAAAGGGGAGCAGCCACACTCGTCAGAGTTAAAGTGGGTTATGTGGGCTTCCTGACTTGTAAGCAAAGTTTGCCATTCAGTTAGTACAGCTGAACTCAAGAAACTTCTGTCATGCTTGGTGATAAAGTTAAATCTTAACATTTTACTATTTAGCTGTCTCCAAAGAAAACATGGGAAGGTTTCATTGGTGGAGGAGTGACTACAGTTATCTATGGATGGATGGTGAGTGTCCGAGTTGAAAAATACTAAATTTGTTTACTGCTCTTAGTAAGTATAGATTGAAGTAAGGATGGGAGTTCTTTGTGTAAATGATTACATGTAGGTTACCTGTGAAATAAATATCCCAGGATGCAATGTTGATTTCCTGTTTTTAGCTGTTATTGAATTAGCCTTGTGTTCACACAGATAATTTCATGAGTTCTTATGTCTCTCCTTTATTTCTTGAAACAAATTTGTTTGCCCCACGAGCTCCTCTAGGGAGATTACACCTTAACTTTAAAGCAACTTAGATTTAATATTAAGAAATTAGAAATGATGGTAATAATAATAATTAAATTATAATTAAATTTATATAGCGCTAATTATATAAAATATTCCTAAGCGCTTTACATTTTAAAATATAAAAATATAAAATATACACATTTATAAAAATTTAAAATATGAAAAGTAGCATTGCAAATAAAAAAATTGATAAAAGTACAATAAAATTTATCACTGAATGTTACAGGCTTCTCTGAACAAATATGTTTTTAGCTGTTTTTTAAAAGAGTAAATGTTTGGCACCATCTGAATGGGCTTTGGAAGCTTGTTCCACATTGATGGCCCAGCATAGGCAAATGCCC